TGATAGAACCGGTTCGTTTCTGTAACCCTACTAGTGGGGGTTAAACACTAGTAATTTCTGTAGCCTGTCAATGGGAGGTTTATAACACTGGCCGTGACCTATAGAGGAGACGTCTATTTCGTGCCCGTACTGTATCTGTTTTCGTGATTGTACTTGTTGGCATGCTTTAAGTTTGATGAGGGGCACTCCATATTTATTTACTGAGTTTATCTCATAGTTTTTCCTTGTCCACCATTTCAGGAAGTGAAACCGAGGACGGGGAAACCACGGGAAGTGACGAGTTAAAAGGCTAGCCATATTGTAATTGGATATGAAGTTTTAGATATGAATCATGATCTTGTATTTGGAGATTTTATGATATCAGAGAGAATTTTAAGATTTGATCTTCAGATTTTGATGGTATCAGAGTGTGATATGATAAGTTCCGAACCTTGTGCACTTGTGGGACCCGTCTCACGAGTGTACGGCGTCTGTCGCGCCTCGGATTTGGGTTCTGGGGCGTGACAAGTCTAGAACTGGAAACTAAAATTAAGTAAACTGAATGTTTGGATATTCTGTAGAGATAAAAGAACAAAGGTAGAAAGCGTTCAACTTATTTACATGAACGAATAACATAACTAAATCCATAAAAGGAAGAAGAACTAACAGAATCAAAAGGGCAGACTTGTTTTGAAGGCTAAGTTGCTTTCAAATGCTTAAAAATTAATCTAAATTAGAATTTGCGGAAGAAAATATGAACAAAGATGAACAAACCTAGGCTAAGGCTATGAACAAGAGTAGATATTGCAAACTAATCTGGAAAATCTGAAAAATCTGAAAACTATTGTTGAAATCTTGAAAATGCAGTCTGAAAGTTGAAAAACATGTTCTGGGCAGTGTATGTGTGTTGGGCAGGCCTCTCAACTGTTCTCTTCTCTTTGTTTTTGTTTTTTTCGGTGCTGAGGACTTCCTCCATGATTTTCAGTACTGTTCCTCCATGATCTGGTAGTGGGGTTGCATGTCTGACAGTTGTTTAACAGTTATCCAATAATTTTAATTTAACCTTATCTCTAACAACCTTAAAAATAACTACCTAAAAACCCTCAATTTTTCACTTTAAATCAAACTCAAACTACCAGATCCAATCTTATCTTCTGCCACCTAAGATCCAACCTCCTTGAAAATCCATTTAGGCCATTAAATTGTAAGCTAGTCCATCCCAAATCCAACCTATTGATTTTCTTGATAATTGGGCTTTACCTTAACACGTGGCTTTATCGTATTTGTTTATTTTTGGTGTAAACAACGCCCCCCAACACTTGGTTTTATGAGAATAAATCTAAGTATTTAAATTTCAAATTATCTTTCAGACTCCAAACTCCAAAGGCCACGTGTAGAATCTGCTAAATCCCAAGATGATTATAGCAAGTATTCCCAACTTTTTCACAGCTAACTCTGTTTGAGCACATCCAACCATCCACAGCCAGTCATGGCTGCTTGATCAAACTTGCTCTCATTCAAAACGAAATAAATGAAAGAAACCCAATTTAATTATGCACAAAAAGAATTGTGAACCTGGTTCAGACAGCTTCTTGGGACTCCATTCCTCTTGCCTCCCAGACTGTGGGGTAATAAGGCTTGAGATAAATTCCATTGATTTTTCTAGAATGAAGCTCTCCATCAAGTGACTCTAACCAATAAGCACCCCCTCTCAACACTTCATGAATTCAGAATGGTCCTTCCCAATTTGGGGATCACTTCCCAAATCTGTGATCTTTCTTGCCAAGAGGCAAAATTGCTTTCTAGACTAAGTCACCAACTATCAAATTTTTACCTTTCACTCTCTTGTTGTAAGACTTTGCAATTTTGAGCTTTTGAGCTTGCAATCTATCCAAAGCTGTCAAACGTGTGTCTTCAAGTTCCTCAAGCTTAAGCATCATGGCCTCATCATATTCCCCAGACTGGAGATTATGCTGAATCGCTATTCTTAAAGATCTGGCTGTTAATTTCATTGGCAAGATTGTATCGTGGCCATATGTCAAGGCAAAAGTTGTCATTTTGGTTGAACTTTTTTGTGAAGTTCTATAAGCCCACATTGTTTTAGACAATAATTCATGCCAGCGTCTGGGGTTGTCATCCACCATTTTTTCAAGCAAATTAATCACCACCTTGTTAGAAGCCTCAGCTTGCCCATTAGCTTGTGCATAATGAGGAGGAAAATTTAACAGACGGAAACTCATTTTCTTTGCAAATGCCTCCACTTGATGGCTGACAAAAACTATGCCTTGGTTTGTTGTAATTGTTTCTGACAGACCAAATCTGTGAATAATGTCCTCTTTGATGAACTTGATTACATCAGATTGATCTACCTTCTTCATTGGTTTAGCTTCCACCCATTTGATAAAATAATCCATTGCCACTATAATAAATGAATGACCTTTTGATGAAGGAGGGTACACCTTACCAATCAAGTTAATAGCCCAGCCTTGAAATGGTCACGGTTTCACAATAAAATTAAGTTCAGAGGCTGGAACTCTTTGAAGTGGACCATGGATCTGACAAGATTTACAGCCCTTAGTATAAGCAATACAGTTTTTTAGGACAGATGGCTAGAAGAAACCATATTTGCCAATCAGCCAACGCATCTTGATCCCAGTCTAGTGTGCACCACAAATCCCATCATGGACATCAGACAACATTTGGAAACTTTCATCTGGACCCAGACAACGTAACAGTAGTTCATCATGGCCTCTCCTATAAAGCACATCCTCAATCAAGACATAATTGAGAGCTTGCATTTTGGTTTTCCTAGATACCTTAGTGCTCTGATCCTTAAGGTACTGAATAATTGGAGAGTGTCAGTCTGTCTGGGTGACATCAATGCTGCAAGTAGAAATTGTCATGCCACGTTGATGAATTGATGGTAGACTACGCTTTTCAACTATTACAACTTTCTGCATTACACCTTTAGGAATTCGCAGACTTGAAGCGATCTGGGTCATTTCATTAGCTTCATAGTTCTAGTCTCTAGGCACGTGTCTGATGGACACATCATCAAACTCTTCTAGTAATTGCACAGCCAAAGCAAAATAAGGGGTTAAAGCAAGGCTAGTACATTTGTACTCACCAGACAATTGCTTCAAGACTAGTTGTGAGTCCTCTATAAACTCAACCATGGAAACTTTAAGCTCCACCAACATCTCAAGACCAATAATCAAAGTTTCATATTCTGCTTGATTATCTGTGCAATCGAAATCCAGCTGGAAAGACATCTATGTTTTTAGCCCAGACAGGAAGATAACCACGACTCCAGCTCCAGACATGGTTTTTGTGCTAGATCCATCAAAAATAAGTTTACAAGGAACTAAACTTATTGAAAACAAGTTAATTCATTTTTCTTCATCTGCTTCCACTTCCAGACATGGATGATCTGCAAGAAAGTCTGCCAGTGCCTACCCTTTGACAGCCTTCTGTGGTATATACTTCAAATTAAATTAAGATAAAGCCAGAATCCATTTACCTATTCGGCCTCTTAACAAAGGGCGAGACAAAATATATTTGACAATATCAGTCTTAGCAACCACATACACCTCGGAATAAATCAAATAATGTCTTAATTTTATTGCAGCAAAAAAGAGGGCAAGAAACAACTTTTCGACTGAAGAATATTTCACTTTGGTTTGGGTCAAATATCGACTCAAGTAATACACAGTCTGCTTCTGTTTTTTATCATTTTCCTGCGCCAGCAGATATCTTATGGACTCGTCTGCAGCGGATATATACAAAATTAAAGGTTTATTTTTCACATGCGGTACTAGTACTGGTGGTCTGGATAAGTACCGCTTTATCATATCAAAGGTAGACTAGTGATATTCTTCCCACTTAAAATCCACCTCATACTTGAGTTTCAATAGAGGAGAAAAGACTCTGGTTTTCCCAGCCAAGTTAGAAATGAATCGTTTTAAGAAATTAACTTGGCCAAGAAATCTCTGCAACTCCTTTTTGTTCTGTGGTGGTTTTGCCTCAATCATAGCCTTGGATTTCTTGTCAACCTCCAGACCACACTCATGCACCAAGTACCCAAGAAAGTTACTTGCAGACACTCCAAAGGCACACTTTAGTGGGTTCATTTTCAAGCCATGTTGCCTCATCCGCTCAAACGCCTTCCTCAAATGGACCAGGTGGTCTTCTTCCCCATGTGACTTCACCACAACATCATCAATATAGATTTCCATGAACTTACCAATCATATCATGAAAAATTGCATTCATGGCTCTTTGACAGGTAGCTCAAGCATTCTTTAGACCAAATGGCATCACAACCCATTCAAAAGTTCCAACAGCACCCCGGCATCGAAAGGCTGTCTTTGGAACGTCTGCGTCTACAATAAAAATTTGGTTGTACCCGCTATGGCCATCCATGAAGGATAAAATTTTATGACGGGCTACTTCATCAATCAACAAGTCTGCAATTGGCATAGGATACTCATCCTTTGGTGTAGCTAAATTCAAGTTTTGAAAATCAACATAGACTCCTAATTTTCCATTCTTTTTCAGTACCGGCACTACATTTGACAACCATTCAGCATACCTGCCTATCCAAATGAATCCAGCTTTTACCAACCGCTCAATTTCTTCTTTCACCTTCAAGGTGACCTCTGCAGACATGCGTTTGGGCCGCTGTTTATATAGTCTGAATCCTTCTGCAATTGGCAGTTTATGTTCCATCAATTTTCGATCTAGACATGGCATTTCTAAGTAATCCCAAGCAAAACAATCTTTAAATTCATGCAAAAATCTAACAATTTGATCTCGTGTCTATAGCTCAAGAGAGCCATTGATAAATGTTACCTTTGACTCACTTTCAGACCCAAGATTAATCTCCTCTAGTGGGTCTTGAACTTCAACTTTTAGATCGTCCAACTTGGCTGGGGCAAGATCCAGCTCTTCCAAAGTTATTTCATCACCCTGGTCTGCCTCCTCGCCTTCATGAACAATTTCAGACCTGTCCACTTGAATTGCTTTTTCAGCAAAATAAGCCGCTAATTTTTTTGTTATCTCCAACACGGCCTTTTCTCTTTCTTGTCTCAGACGTGCTTGCTTCATTAGATTTCTTCAATTTTTAATTTCTCCTTCGGCCTATAAGGAATTATTGTTGTTGGCCAAAGAAGTTCATCATAGACTTCCTTTACAACACGTTTAAACAATGACGATTTGCTGCATGTTGTTATCCCAATCGGCTTCCCATGTCTATTCATCCCAAAAAACCGAATGGTTCCAATGTCTTCTTCATAATATCTAGCCTCCATCAAGTGAGTATTGGCTGAAAAAGGCTTATCATCTGCAGACACGACCTCAGCCTTGCCACCATTCTAGAAAATCAGCTTCTGGTGATGTATAGAAGGGACACACCAACTTGAATGAATCCAGTCATGCCCCAAAAGTGCATTGTAAGTAATAACAGTATCCACCACAAAAAACGCAGACATCAGTGTCTTATTTTCCATTGTTAATTCAACAGGCAACACCCCTCTTAAACGATTCACCCCTCCTATAAAATCACTAATTGTAACCTCAATATGCACTAAATCATCAAGAGACTTGCCTATTTTGTAAAGCATGCAAGTTGGAAGGACATTGACTGCAACTCCATTATCCACCAAGACATGATTAATTGGAGTCCCTTCCATGTGAGCATTGATATAAAGTAGCCTAATGTGTCTGACCATCTTTTCTTCTGGTTTTTCAAACACTATTTTGTCAGTCATGTCCTCCTCTTCATCATCCTGGGCTGGAACAATGATTGCCTCTTCTTCTGTCTGTTTTGGGAACTCACAGACAATTGGTTCCTCCTCCTTCTTGGCTTGGAAAACCAAGGGTAATGTTAGCACTAGACATGACAAATTCACTAAGAATTCCCCAAAATGAATAGTGCTATCTTCTTTTGATTTAGCTCCAAGATTCTCAGACTATTCTTGTGCTTCAAAAGTTGCTTTCAAAACTCCGTCTGGACTCACAATGACAGATGCCACCTTCGAAGAAGTTGGAAATTGGTCATTCCCCTCCAGTAGAGTCTGGGTTACAGTTTCAATTTTCTCTTTTCTCACCCACACCATGTTCCTTTTGGTAAGTTGGCGTGGTCTGCGAGATGAACTACCCTCAGCCTCCACCTGCTTCTATTGCCTTTTCTGCTCTTCAGCCCTTTTGCGTTGCAGTTTGTGCCCAAGGTTCTGGGATTCTTGGTTGGAAACTTTAGATGATTGACTTTCTCCCATCGTCTGAAAGGTGATCTGAGTGGTGGTTTAACCATTCTTGGAGATCTAGTACCAGTTGAGTGATGTTTGGCACCTTTTGGGCTGAAGTTCCTAGTCACAATGATCCTTCCTTGCCCCTTGAGCCTCTGCCGGTCTGACCTGACACTCTTGCTATGTCTGGACCTTTGCGCCTCAATGACCCACGTCAAGTCTTCGGCAACAAGGTTCCTTTGAGCATAAGGCAGACTACGATTTCTAGCAAGACTCCTAAGGTCTGCAAAATTCACGCCGACAGACACAGCTGGAAAAGGGTCTGCATCTACTCCCATAGTTTCCTTCGCTTTGTCTGGATATTTCAAGATACCCTTATCAATCTTTTCTTGCAAGACATTACAAAAAAATAAGACAATTATCAGTAGAATGCTTCCAAGAATTATGAAATTTGCAATAATCTCTAGCTCCGATTTCAGCCGCTGTCAGGATTTTATGTCCCGACGACAGCTTAATTAGACCACTCTTTTTAAGATGGTCGAATATATCACTAGCTTTGACACATCCAAAGTATATTATTTTCCAACCTCACCAACATAACATCTCACAGACGTCTCAGGTTGGTGAGTTGGTTTGACAAGGTCTGGACAACAACAGGCTTGTCTGTAACCACCTCAGCCATATCAAGATCAAAATTACGGTCACTATAATAGGTTCTATGTGATGCAGCTTTCTTTTGAACATCTTCTTTCAACAGATTTTCATACCGAGCCACTTTATAAGACAATTCATAGAAGTCTCGAAATTCCATCCCCTCAAATTTCTTTCGGCGCTCAATGTTCAAACCATTCTGAGCTAGCTTGAAAAATCCTATTCTGGTAGTGCAACTCGACATTTCAGTCTGGCTCTCAAGAACCTAGCAAGGAATGCCTCAGATGACTCTCCAGGTTTTGGGCTAACCTCGACAAGTTTGCCATAGACACTTCTGGTTCACAATGATAAAATTGAGTATGAAACAAGTCCTCCATTTGCCTCCAAGAGAATATTGAATTTTGAGGCAGATTAAGGTACCAAGTAAGGGCTGTCCCAGTCAAAGATCTAAGGAACAGTCTGAGTTTCAAGTTATCATCTCCAGACACCTCTCCACACTATATTATGAAGCGTCTAATATGTTCAATAGTGGATTGACCAACCTCACCAGAAAATAAAGTGAACTCAGGCACTTTAAAACCCCTTGGAAAAGGATTTTCATGATCAATGACGTCTGGATAAGGCTTCTTGTAGGCTAGACATACCAATGGTCTCAAGGCTGGTCCATAGGTTTCCTGTACCAGATCTATTAGCTGATCTCTATTGAATAATTGAGCTGGTTGATTCTGCAGATCGCGCTGTACCAGCTGGGCTGGAGAAACTTGTGGCTAGAAAAAGTCCCTTGGGTAGGGTTGATGATGAGGACCCACATTTCCCCTTCTACTTGGCGAAATATACTTGTGCTGAGGTTGATAGTCATGGTCTGCAACAAGAGCAGCAACTTCCTTTGGTTCATGCTGTCTTTGCCCTTCACCCATGAAGAAATTCTGCAGTTGAATGTTAGGATGAGGCTGATTCCCTTTCCCCCAGAGTGCTGGGATTGGGGCTTCCTGAATCTGTCTAGGTATTTCAACGACTGGAGGAGGGACCTCAAGTCTGGGCTATCGCACTTGCTCAACCACTTGTTCTGAAATAGCCTGCAGTGTTCTGCGACTTTCTTCCTCAGTTTCTCGCATCACCTTAGTGCTTTCTTCAAAGACCCATTTCAGGTCTTTCATACATTGTCTAATTGTCTCTTCCTGACGTCTAGAGGATTCTGCTTGACTCTCAACAAGTCTCCGCATAGCTTGGTTCTGTTCTTTGAATGCTAACTCCAGACGTTCAGTCATACCTCTAAACACATTACTTGATTCAGCAAAGTCACCCCCACGGTCTGCTTCTTTCTCCTTAAATACTGGATTCCCATAGGACCGTTCTGTCAGAGGTGACACTGGGAGAAAAGTAATGGGATCATTTTCACCCTCAGAGTGGAGTGGACTGTCATCTGCATGCTCAGCTTGGGCTGGCTGAACCTCTTTATCTTTGCTCTTTCTCGATGGCATGGCTCTAGACGCCTCTGGATGTATAAATAGAGGATCTGTGAACTTTAACTGATACACCTTGCTGGTGGTCCCACTAGGCGTGCCAACAAAGGATTGTTTCTCTAAAAATCCTTAGCCGGCCTTTACCACGTGAGTTGGATGTTAGGTGTGCCACTTGCTTTGTCTAAAAACAAGAAAACAAAATTTTATAGACGATCCTTTTCCTTTCCAACGATCGACCTCCAAAAAGGATGGTTGGAAAGAACGTTTGTGAAATGAATTGCACCCCAGACAATGTTGCAAAACAGAGGGTAGAGTTCTGTAGAATGAGTAACTAATTGCCTTAGAAACCTCGAAAGACTTCACAACCAAACAAATGCAATAAAAGCTACAAATCATAAAATAAATGCAATATCCTAAGGCAATTAAACTAACATAAAGTAAATAACAGAAATAAACATGCCATAGAGATTAAATTCGTAGACAACAAAAAAAGTAAAATAACAGACAATGATTTCAACTACGCAGCCCATAATGATTAAACTAATTACTGGCAGAATTAAAACAACAATAACTAAACAACTTGATTGTTAAAACTACAAGAAATAACTATAAATTAATTGAAGTCTAGAACTGGAAACTAAAATTAAGTGAACTGAATGTTTGGATATTGTGCAGAGACAAAAAAACAAAAGTAGAAAACATTCAACCTATTTACATGAACGAATAACATAACTAAATCCATAAAAGGAAGAAGAACTAACCGAATCAAAAGGGCAGACCTATTTTGAAGGTTAAGTTGCTTCCAAATGCTTAAAAATTAATCTAAATTGGAATTTACGGAAGAAAATATGAACAAAGATGAACAAACCTAGGCTAAGGCTATGAACTAATCTGGAAAATCTGGAAACTATTGCTGAAATCTGGAAAATGCAGTCTGAAAGCTGAAAAACATGCTCTGGGCAGTGTATGTGTGTTGGGCAAGCCTCTTGAACTATTATCTTCTCTCTGTTTTTGTTCTCTTCGGTGCTGGGAACTTCCTCCATGATTTTCAATACTGTTCCTCCATGATCTGGTAGTGGGGTTGCATGTCTGGTAGTTGTTTGACAGTTATCCGATAATTTTTATTTAATTTTATCTCCAACAACCTTAAAGATAACTACCTAAAAACCCTCAATTTCCCACTTTAAATCAAACTCAAACTATCAGATCCAATCTTATCTTCTGCCACCTAAGATTCAACCTCCTTGAAAATCCGTGTGGACCATTAAATTGTAAACCAGCTTAGCTTAAATCCAGCCTATTGATTTTTCATGATAATTGGGTTTTACCTTGACACATGGCCTTACCCTATTGATTTATTTTAGGTGTAAACAGTACCACATAGAAGTCTCAAACGCTGTAGACTTGTTAATAATGGGCACTTAAGACCTAGAAATTTTAGGTTGTCCGTGTATGGTGTGTTGTGTGGAAAATTGATGCGCACTTAATTGTTGTGATCCTAAAGTCACAGTCATGCAATAATTGAATAATTTTTTAGTAATTATTAGAAATTAAAAGTTAGATTAATACTTTGCTCTTGGCAAGATTCGACCACTGATCAGGGGTGCAATCCACTAACGTTCTTGTTGGGTTACAGTGGCAACCAATGGATCACATCAGGGGGATGCAATTGATTTTGGAGTTTATAGATGCCAGCGGAGCCACTCTGGCTGATTGACCTGTTCGCCCGGCGACAACCGAGCATTGTGGGATCAATCGGTGGGGAAATTTTAAAGTCTGAAGTCATTTCAGAGCATATGGATATTTCCAAAATATTACGGAAATTGCTATTACATATTTATATGAGGTCCCTCTCAATTGCAAAACATAACCATTGAACGGATTAACGGAACAGCATTTATTTATTATTTAATAATTTATATTGTGTAATTTAAATTAATTTTTGTGTGTATATTAAGTTTATTTTAACTTGTGTTATAGTGTATTTATTGTATATTTTTATTATTAATTTATATGAAAAATTACGAAAATAAATTTTATTTTTAACACTAATATTATACAAAATATTTTAATTCCACAGTTGAT